AATGCTTTTAATTTAATTGCAAAATTAAATTCAGGGCTTTTAGCTTCTATTTTTTGAAACATGGTTAGAACTTTGTAGCGAAAAAAAACTATTTTAAATCAATTAATTTATAATATATATATATATATATATATATATATATATATATATATATATATATACTAGTTTCAAAAGACGCCCTATCTGGCGACATTTAAGCTAGCTCCTGTGGGGGACTCTTGATTGGGTCTTCATCACAATGGATAGAGAGGAGTAGAGGCGATAGGCATCAATAAACTACAGAACTCAAAATTGATCGCTGCATTTAAGTATTGAATTAATGTTTAAGCTTACCTTTTAAAGGTTCAACGATAATTCTTCTGTTGCCCCTTTATTTAAAGACATTTTAAGGTACGTAGGTCCTTACTTTCCATATAAACAGTTTTTTTTTATTTAATTTTCGCTGGATTTCGCAATGAATTTCCATTATTCCGAAACTTATTTCGAAATTATAAAAGTGGTTATCGTACAAAAAATCCTCGTAAAAAAATAGCCGAAAACAATCGCAGTAATGAAAATTTTCGAATTCAAAATGTCAGGAATCCGACCTGGAATGTTTTTTTAATTTGCTCACGGGGTCGGCCTGATTCTAAAATGGCATGATATGTTGGGGTACGGTCTCTAAGAGTAAAGTTGAAAAAGTGTGACACAGTGACACACTGACATTCCCAGTTATTAGATAGATAGATAGATAGATAGATAGATAGATAGATTAGGAAACGTCTATAAAGCTAACATCTTTCGTTGGTTAAGAAGGTTTCATCTGCATTTGACTTGTTAAGCAGCGTTAGTATATGTTATGGTGATCTGAACTCAACGATAAATGATACGCCCTTTCGAATCTCCAAAGCCTAACTAAAAGAAAAATATAACTATTACTTTATTTATGTAAGTATATCATAATTCTATTTTGAATATATAGGATACGGATGATAATGTATATTCGTAAATGTATATATGTGCGTGTGTGTGTGTGGTGGTGGTGGTGGGGGCTCGTACGCATTATTTATATTTGTTGATTGTCCGTATGTTGAGTTTGGAACGTCTTTACGGCAAACACAGGTTTAAACTTATTTGTTTTGTTTTTTTCTCCTATTAATCCGATCCATATTTGATCTGTATTTTGATCCCAATTAATGTTATGTTTTGTTGCATTTTCTCTGATCTTCACATTTTACAAACATTTAAACAAGGTTCGCCCCCGTCTCGCCTATTTAAGTTAAAGATACTTGCGTCTCGGATTTTTTTAGTCACCAATCTGCCTAGTTGTTAATTCGCCCCACTCATGTCTCCATTAAACTCTGTCGCATGGGTAAGATGACACTTTAGCTAACTTTAATCTCCAAAAAATTCAAATGCAATGTCAATTGCTATCTACTCTCCTCCTGATTGCTCTTTTCTCTTCCAGCTCATTAGTAATGTTTCTGTTCTTAATTCTTCCACACCCTGTAAACCCTTGCGTCTTAGTGGCTCTATTGCCTTACTTGGGCTTAAATCGATTCAAAAATATATATAACGATGGCTCGACCACAGATCATTTCCTACAAATACATCGAATATCTATATATATTTTTAGACTGATCTCGAATTTTGTTCAACGATTGCTTTTTTTTTCTTTTAGTAACTATGATAACCTTTAATATATGCGGGTATGTCCTCAAGGCTAGTACAATATCCATTCTAGTACTGACGGTATGCTTTGCTAAGGGGAATGATGCCAAAGGTCACAGGACCTTCAGATGCCAAATCTCGTGTAATTGGACAGTAGAGGATACAAAAGTGATTTATGACCAGGAAATTATTGAAATCTCTCATTCTACAACCTTGGCGATCACATAATTACATCAGACAGTCTTATTCGTAGTCTCGCGAAAATCTCGTTTCCAGGACTTATAGACAAAGATCGATAGATTGATACATAGATAAATAGATAAGAGGAAGAGCCAACAGTTGAATTAATTCATGACCAATTACAATAACGTTCTAATTCATTTCCAATACAATTCTGTAATAAAAGCATTAACAATACATTACAATATCATATAATAATTGCCTGACTCTTTCAGTAACACTTTCTTTAATTCCTGAATATCGACAATCCATTTCTTTCTGACCAGCATAATGAATAGGATTCATTTCGTAACTTTTTTCTAGGATTGGCATTTTTTAACTGTCCTATTGAAAATAGTAACACTGAGGATTCCTCTATACTTAAAACCGGCATCGATGATTTTCTACCTTCTTGGAAATGCCAGATGAAACCATCTTTATATTTGCCAGTTCAGCCGCTATAGCCCACAGGAATCACTTTTTCAGGCTGTTCCAGTATGATAATTCCGATAGCAACAAATATCGATTTGTGTCTGCTCATAATAATTGCAAACGTGCCCTCAAAGGGCTAAGTCTTTTGTTTGCTGACAGAATTTGATACCCTATAGCTTCTAACAACTTTGATATTCCTGAGTATTGCCGGCTCTGTAAGAATATGTAAAGTAAGAGCATGTCTTCTATCTCTCGTCTCGTCGCTCACTTTGTGGTGTAAGCATCTCCAGCTGATAAGAGCAGGATGTTTTGCTCGTAAATTCTCTTCCAATTCTTCTCTTGACTTATGCTATATCTGACTTTTCATATTTTTTAACTGAAAATAAAGTCAGTGATTGTCACGTGTGGAGAATATGAAAATAGCGTTTCTCTACATTCCAGTTGCTAGGTACATTCTGTTTTTGTTTTTATTAGTTACTTTGTTCATTTAATTTCATTTTCGTATTTTGCTTTGATAAAGTCCACATTGGACGAAACGCGTCAGCAATTACCAGTTTTCCTATTGTCATTTTTATTCATAAATATTGTCTTCTCTACCGATTAAATCGGAGAAATTTTCATATATATATATATATATATATATATATATATATATATATTTTATATTAAACGTATAACTGCCGTACACTGTCAAAAGCTATCATATTATTTCCTTACTATAGACAATCCTATTCCTCCTGATTTTGAATTTCTTTCCATCGTAATATCATTAATAATATATCGGTTTGGAAATGGTTTCTATCTAATTTTCTATGACAAATATTCCAAACACTATATAAAACAGATCTAAGTAATCATCATTACATTAACAAATGATTTCAATGACATTAGACTTCTATCAAGAAGAGTTTTAGTTCCCAATGTCTAAAGTTCTTTAGGTATTGATGCGATAGTTATTCTTCTCTGACACATTCTCTCGTCTGACTTTAACCAAATAGTTTTGCAAACTTCTAAACATATAGTTATCGGAATGAGCAATATCCAAGAAATCCAGGGGTATGAATCCTTCATCCATACTTCCTTTTGATTCACTGATGATATCTGTTTTAACACTGTCAACAAACGAGTAATAATTTGCGCCTAATCTATAAATTCCCTTTCATAATTATGGTTCCCGTATTGTTTAGTTGTTTATCAGTTTAGTTGTTCCCCGTCCTTCTCTGTATCCTTTCCTCAAACAAGCCTCTTTACTCTTGTTCTCAATCCTCTATAACCTCTTGCTTGCTAGTGGCACTCCCGCCTTTCTTAGGGTGAATTCACTTAAAAAAAGTCCGACAATTATTTCAATATATTTTATTGTTATACCTTATTTATACAGACACTAATATTTTAAGTAAATGCTCTGTTTAAAATATGTGTGTCTATATAAATAATAGAGATTTTTATAGGAAAAATAAAAAAGAGGACATTGATTGATTGTTTTACGGATTATCAACCCCCTGTCGGTTATTTAAAGTCCAAACATATTTTGGATGTTGGATTTTTTTGAGTGAATATTTTATTCTTATTTTTTGTAGAATAACATTGATTCGTCCAAAATACAAATACTACTATTTAATCCATAGCTTGCGGAGGAGAAGAATCCATAGATTTGGCAAGAGAATTTGCGAGTAATGAACGCATCGGACCCGACTGGAAATCAAACTAGGCTCTCCATTTTTTTTTATTCCGAGCTGCTATCCATTACGAGCAGTCAGATGCTTGTGACGTCTCCTCTGTGAGAAAAAGGTGGAAAGATGGAAAATAATTCGTTGCCTACAAGGACACTGTCAAGGGTAGTAAGTGAAAACTGGTCAGCTCTCGCCCATATATGGCAGCAGACATCTATTTTCGACCTGATCTTGTATACGAGAATATATGAAGAGGGTCAATGTTGGTACACCATAACGGCCTGGTAACAGTATCCTATGTAAATAAAACTGCACACAAACAGCCTACTAATGCCAAGGCTATTTTGGACACTGTCAATGGTATCTGGAGAACTGAAATTTCATAACCAGTTGGCTTTGTCGTATTGAAGCTGTCATCAAAGCGAAAGATGACCATACGGATTATTAGTGTATGTTAAAATTAATCATAACTCAATTCCTTTGAAGTGAATACTGACTTTTATTTTTAGGCTGTCAAGATATATTGTAAAAATGTGCGGTTTTCATAGGGGATAGAGCGTTTTTAGATATAGGCAGTGTGTACATGGGGATCAACACTGCATAGCGACAGTTATTTTCAGGTCATAGCGTGAATATCACTTGAAATGTTCTATATACAGTGGCTTGCAATAGTCTACACCCCCGTTTGAAAATTTATATATTTTGTATAATTTAACAGGGAACAACACATTTTTTCAATTGTAATGATTGTCAAATAATAAGCAGCTCTATCACACTTTCGTTTGATATAAAAATTACATTTTAAAAAATTTCACCCTGATTCTTAAAATCATATAACTTAGAAAATTTCTTTGCAAAAGTCTACACCCCCACCAGATATTATACTGTGTCATCCCGTAGTTTATCATTGATGTATAGAAACCAGAATAATCCAAAATGACATGTGTGTTCTACCATAACAAACAAACTTCTCCAGTCTGTTATTTTTCTATATAAGGTGATTTAACTGCCTATAAAATCATCCACCACATGGTTTCTTGGTATGTTGGTCTTTGGACTCTGACTGTAAACACAAGGTGTACAACTTGGGAAAGAAAATTGGCAAGCCTCTGTCTCAAGAACTTAAAAACCTTATTATTCAAAAGTACAATGAAAATAATGGCTATAAAAAGATTGTAAAAACTTTAGAATTGCCCCTAAGCACTGTTAAAACTGTAGTTAAGAAGTGGTTAGTGCACAAAACCACAGCTACCCTACCAAGATCTGGGTGACCGAGCAAACTTAGCAGAAGAGCAAAATCAAAACTGGCCCGGGAGGCAACCTCCAACCCTAGTGCAACACTGGAAGACATGAAAGCTTCAGTTTCCATTACTGGGACAGGTGTCCATGCATCTATAATTTCCAGAGTATTGCACCGGTCTGGCCTACAAGGGAGGGTAGCTAGAAAAAAGCCTTATTCTGAAGCCTATGCACAAGCAAGCTAGGCTAAACTTTGCCAAAAGTCACATCAACGATTCCATGACCATATGGCGAAAGATTTTGCGGTCACATGAGACCAAAGGAATTATTTGGAAAAATACGAAACACTATGTTTGGCGGAAAAAGGCACTGCTTACCAACTTCATTACACCGTCCCCACTGTAAAGCATGGCGGTGGCTTGATCATGTTTTGGGGTTATTTTTCAGTTGCAGGGCCTGGAGATCTGGTAAACATCCAAGGTGTTATGGACAGTTTCAGGTACCAAGAAATATTGGAGGCAAACCTGCGGAAGTTTGCTAGAGCTCTGCGCTTGGGTCGCAATTTCAAGTTTCAACAAAATAACGACCACAAGCATGTGTCAAAAAGCACTAAAGCTTGGTTTGCTAGCAAGAAAATGACAGTTTTGGAGTGGCACAGCCAGTCTCTAGATCTCAATCCTATAGAAAATCTATGGTGAGATCTAAAGTTGGCTGTGCACCAATGTTTCGCATCCAATCTGACACAGCTCGAGAAGTTCTGCCATGAAGAATGGCAAAAACTGTCAGTAGGCCATTGCAGCAGGCTTGTGGAAAGCTACCCGAGGCGTCTGCAGGCTGTAATTGATGCAGCAGGATCATCCACAAAGTATTAACTGAAGACATCCCAAAGGGGGTGTAGATTTTTTCAAAGACATTTTTTAAAATTATCTTTGTTTAAGAATTAGTTTTATATTTTTTCAAATGCATTTTGTGTATTAAATAAAAGTGTGATAGATCTGCTTATTAAAACAAATTATTGAAGTTTAAAATATATTTTTCCTATCAAAATAAACAAAATACATCCAGTTTTCAAGCGGGTGTAGACTTTTGCAAGCACTGTAGAGTTGCCATTCATAGATAATCACCATCATTCACAATGTACTTATACTCAGCGTTAATTCATATACCTACACTGTTTCTCTCTCTCTCTCTTTCTCTCTCTCTCTCTCTCTCTCTCTCTCTGCTCTCATAAGCATATATGTACAGTGTGGGACTGGGCGTATATACGCATCATTGCGTCGTTGTGTACGCAAATGGTCGCTGTATTCAATGTTGGATTGTTTAGCGAACTTTTGTCAGTCGCAGTATCAACGCATACATCGTTCGTCTATTTTGTCCGCAGAATAATGTTTTCTCCCACACACACACACACACACACACACACATATATATATATATATATATATATATATATATATATATATATATATATATATATATATATATATATACGTATGCACGTGCGTTCTATCCATGTTCTATCCGTCCGTTTATTTAAGATGGGGTCTGTGTAAGACTATGGAAGGTAAAATTGTTATTATTTTTCATTTTTTTTTTGAGCTGTAATGCGTGAACGTGTATGTATGTATGTGCAGTGTTACGACGACAATTTTTCCTCCCACCACCATAAGAACACCGGTATACGCAACCATATATAAATCCAAAATTTAAAAATTAATCAGATTGTCTGACGATCGCAAATAGCGTGAAACCCCGGGTCACAAACTCACATCAATGCAACTAAATATGTTAGATCTATCACTGATATTGAGCGCTTTCCCATAGGTACCGCGTATATATAATATACAAATAATATATATAAAAATTGCATATATATATATATATATATATTTATATGGATACACATTTTATATATATATATATATATATATATATATATATATATATATATATATATATATATATATATATATATATATATATATATATATATATAATAACATTTAGTTTTAAGGTATGCTTTATTTATGGGTTAGTGTCCAATATCAGATAGAGAGCGTATGTACATATAAATTGGACATTGAAGTCAAAACCCAATAGCGACAGTCTGTTTCATGCCTAAACGCACTCTTTTTAAACGCAATCTTCGTGCTATGGCCTGAAGATTGCGTTTAAGCATGAAAAAGACTACCAGCCCTGGGTGTTAACATCAAATCACAACCATTATATCTATCTATCTATCTATCTATCTATCTATCTATCTATCTATATCCGTCCTGGGTAAGACGATAAACTGCATCCACGTCCTGGGTAAGACGATAAACTATATCCGCGTCCTGAGTAAGACAATAAACTAAATCCTCATCCTGGGGAAGACGATAAACTACATCCAACAGCAAGGCCTCTGATCAGTAGGCGTTGAGGAGCGTGGAATCACCTCTTAATTGCTGGTGTTCCCAGGTTCAATCTGACCCGGGGTGGTAGCACCTGTTAGGGTCCCAGCTATGGGCAAATAGTTAACACCACCAAAATGGGGTCAAAACACTATGAAAGTGAAAAAAGTGTTTAAATAGCAGAAATGCTCTGTAAAAAATATATTACCAGCAATACATAAAAAAAACATATTATCAGCAATATATTTAAAGAAAAATGTTACCAGAAATCGATTTTTGACGAGAAAATATTACCAGAAATACATATTTGAAACAACAACAAAAAAATATTACCAGCAATAAAAAAATATAGCCATTAAATAACCCATTGAAATTGATATGCCGTAAAACAAACCAAACCAAAAAATCTATCTATCTATCTATCTATCTATCTCTCTATCTATTTTCCCTCAATCTATTTTTATTTCACCATATATGTATATATTTCCCTCTTTATCCATTTTCCTATATCGTACTATTTTCATATCTATCTATCTATCTATGCTCATAAATATTTCTCAATCCGTTTATTTATTGCGGTCTATTTATATATCTATCTATTTATCTATCTATCTATCTAATTCTACTCATATTTATATGTATATCAGTCTACCTATCTACCTGTCTGTCTATCTATCTATCTCAGTCTATTAATATCTATGGCAATCTATTAAAATCTATCTATCTATCTATCTATCTATGCTCATATTTATTTCTCAATCCATTTATTTATCTCGGACCATTTACATATATATATATATATATATATATATATATATATATATATATAAGCAAGTGTAAATGGATAAAATCCGACAGAATGTAGAAATTTTGAAAAACAAACAAAAATCCATAAATGTAGTTAAAATGAAAGATTGAACTGAATTTGTATTTTAATGAATTTTGTCTTGAAAATGGTTTATTAAAACCGAAACGTCTGACGTCGACAATTCTTTCATTTTAACTACATTTATGGATTTTTGTTTGGTTTTCAAAATTTCTACATATATATATATATATATATATATACATATATATATATACATATATATATATATATATATATATATATATATATCTTTTCTTGTATGTCTCTACCTTCTACTTTCTTTTATTCATATTCCTTTATACGTCGCCTGTCTCTAATTTATCTTCCTCTCCATTAGTCTCTGCCAACGTGCAACAGATCCACCTGTCACTCCAAGTCGTGTAGTTTGTAAATTGTTTACATCAGGACATTGACAAACATGAGACAGGTTAAAATAACATCGTTTGTTTTAAGACTAAGCAAATGTCGCCATTTCAGAGTTGATGCAAAAGATACGCTTTCTTTTTTTTTTTGTATTATTTACAACGAGTTTCGTCAACTTCCCGCCATCTTTTTTTTCTGTTTTCTTTTTTTCTTTCTCCATCGCCAAATTTCTCTTCTTTTTCTACCCACTCTTATTACTCGTTCTATTTTTCTCTGTCTTTCAATTCCTCGCCTTTTTCTTTTGTTTTTCGTTCATCTATTTTGTCCGCCCTTTTAAGCCGGCATCTGTTCCTTGTCAATAAGCATCAAAATCAGACGATAAATACCAAACAAAAACGCTTTTCACTTACCATTTAAAAATACGAAACAGTTAAAAATGTATGACTGAAAAGACGCCATTAAATTCACACACAGAGCCTGTTTCGCCATTTTATAAATATCACATCTGTCCTACAATATTTTGTAATGTCTTTAACGTTTCTGAAAAAAAAGCCTAATGCCTACCAAATGAGAACATCTGTATACAACAATATTGATGGAACTCGGCTCATTTCTTACATTATCATGGCACATTTTCTTTGCTGTAACCTACATTTTCGTTATGTGCCAACCTAATTTTTATTCGAACCTCATTTTCGTATGAACGTTACAGTGCTGGAGCTAATTGACTAAAAGATATGAGACGCTTAGACACGATAGCATCTGATCAGGAGAAAGAATGGCCTCACTTCTTTAACTACACAGTGGCTGTTGAATAATTTTTAAATGTTTGAATTAATAAAATGATTAGTTGTAAATTTAAAGATTCTATGTATGTATGTATATATGTATGCTTGCATGTATGTATGTGACCAAGTGGTTAGAGCGTTCGCTTTCTGACCACGAGGCCCGAATCTCACCATGGTGGATTTGCTAGGAAGGAGACTTCCTGATGTTGTCCAAATGGATCGAGTTCAATCCCAGCGGTCAGCACGTTTGGAAAGTGGTTGAAAACCATACCACTGGTTAACACAAGCCTTGTGAGTGAAATTGGGTCGATAGAATTCTTGAGGGCTGTCAATAGCTCTTGCTAGCACAAAGCCACAAGTCATCGTGGCCGACGGCTTGAGCGTGCTGGTCTTATTAAAATTGTTGATCACGCTAGATAACACGCACTTTCCCAGAAACTGTAACTAACTGCTCAGCATAGTTGCCGTATAAGCAAACGTCTTGGCTCTGTGGGTGTTGAACAAAGACAAATATGCCTGAGCGAGCGTCTATAATAGGGATTGGCTAGCCGCCCTAGCTGACTGGTATCGTCGAATACGAGTGGCAGCTATTATTTATTTTTATGTGTGTATGTGGCCCGAGTGGTTAGAACGTTCAAGTTCTGAGTCTCACCACGGTTGATTTGCCAGGAAGGAGATGTTATCGGTCTGGAGGGGGACGATCCCAACGTGCGTCACCTTTGGGGAGTGCCCGATATCCTCGGTCACGATGAAAACCAAGCCTTGTCAGTGAAATTAGGTAGACGGGACACTTAGGAGCCGTCGATAGCTGTGCTAGCACGAAGTCACAAATCATCGTGACCGAGGGTTTGAGTGTGCTAGCCTTGTTCAGACTGTTGATCACGCTAGAAAACACGGTCTCTCCCAGAAACTGTAACTAAGGTCTAGCTAGAATAGTTTCAGTATAAGCCACATGTTGGCTTTATGGTTGTTGGAGAAACAAATATATGCTTGAGCAGGCCTTTGCAACAAGGATTGTCTAGCCGCTTCAGAAACGAGTCGACAGGTATTATCATGTATATATGCATGCCTCCATGTCAAGCTTCCAAAGAATCTTTGCACAGAATTTGATCTAATATTTGCTGAATATATCTAAGTAGGAAACGCCTAAAATCATCAAAGTTGTCACACCTAAAAAGTCATTCACTTCACGTTATGCAACATATATTTTACTGGCAATATGTGCGCAAAAGAATGTGTCTCAGTTGATAGACTAAAACATGATATGAATTTCAGCCCAGATATTAATATAACGGGAATACCCGACAGCGACCTGAAAGCAGTGCCTTAGGCCGCTAGGCCATCCTTTCACAATTTTAAACTATATGAAGGCACGTTGGAGTAGTGGATAGCGGCTCAGATTGAAAAATTGGAGAGCAGAATTCGAATTCCAGTCGAATCCATTACATTCACTTACTTTGGGAAAGGTATGGATCCTCTTCTCCTTTCAGCTATGGGTAAATAACAGGACAGACTGGGTTCTATAGGCTTAGAGAGCAACTAGTCTACGAGAAAGACAACCTTTAATTAAAAAAAAAACCTGCGGAAAGTTGTTTGGGGACCTTGTGGCAAGTCGTTTTTTTCGGTCCAAAAAGTGTGGTTGGCTCTGTACAAAGCTTTAACCACTATAATCAAATCATATGCGCTGGTGTCTGGACTGTCACTTCCTAAGAACTGATGTGCTTGACCATCGAACGTCGAATACCATCGAGTTCACCATTAATGTAACGACTACTTCAGAGGAGCTTAATGCTGTCAAACCTGCTCAACAAAATATAAGCCCCTAGCTGAACTAAAAGCCACACAATTTGCATTTATTTATATATATATATATATATATATATATATATATATATATATATATATATATAATTTAAGTAATTCTAAGACATTTACTTGATTTAAAAAGAAATATGGTCTATTAGTAATTAAGATTAAAAATATTTTAAAATTGTAGTTAAATATAACATATTCTAACCCAAACATCCCTTTTAGAAAAACTGTCGTTAATAATAATAATAATAATAATAATAATAAAACAAACGACATGCGTTTAATGGATGTCAGAATTCGTTGAAAAATACCCTTCTACCCCCAACTAAACTTAACCTCTTTTTCGAACGTAACTCATAATTGATACAACAATAGTTAATAAAAATGAACACACTACCGCCCCTGTCTGAATGATTGTATTTCTCTGTATCCTTGGAAACAGGAAATTATGAATTGTATGTGTCTTTAAATCTTTAAATAAGTTATTCCAATATTCGCTTGAAGATGAAACAGAACAAATGCTTTTAATTTACTTATCTAATTAAATTTGAAATTTTCAGCTTCAACTTTTGAAGCATGGTTATTGCTGTGTAGCGAAGAAACCATATTTTAAATCAGTTAATTTATAATATTTATACTCTGTAAATTTACATTGAGCACTGTTTTGTCAAAATAAAAAGTATCAATATGAACGCCGGATTATATAACTTACTGATCTTTCTTTTTATATATATATACATATATATGATAAAATATACTTTTAAGATATTGAAGGGTTGAAGTGTTCAATATCAGGGATACAACAGATCTAAATATGTAAATATAAAAATGGATCTTGATGTCAACGAACAGCGTGGACAGTCTGTTTCCTGCTTGCACGCAATCGTCAGATTATATGTATTGTGTTTTTGTTTGACTAGTAATATATACTGGTCAGTGGTGCATTGTGGTTTACCGATTGTTATAACGATTGGTTTGGTGGGCGGTAAACGGTTATGTGTCTTATTATTCTAAGCGCGATTGAGTGGAAATAACTGTGGATCCGGATGCAGTTTTTGGCCACACACACACACACACACACACACACACACACACACATATATATATATATTTATATATATATATATATATAAAAAAAGGCTAACCTATTTTTAGGAGCGTCAATATATATATATATATATATATATATATATATATATATATATATATATATATATATATATATATATATATATATATATATACATATATATATATATATATATATATATATATATATATATATATATATATATATATATATATATATATATATATATATATATATATATATTGACATCAGTGATATACATGACATATACTTCGTTCAGAAATGTGTAAACTGTCAGCTCTGTACAATACTTTTCTCGACTCAATGTTTAAAAATTTGGATGAAAAAAATGAATTGTCTTGTCTTAAAGAAGAGCTGGCGCTACAGAATCACAAATTCAAATATTTACCAAATAACAAAGAAAAAAAACAACAACAACAAAGCGTAGCAATTGTAACTAAAAGGAAAAATAATGCAAATGTTTGCTTTCCTCAGTATCTTAAACAAAAGGTTAGGAAGGAATCTGGCATGAATACTGGGAAGATTAACATTTGATTTGTTTTTTACGGCTTTTTGTGGATTATTTAAATGGAAGCTGTCTATATTTCTGAGATGAGGTATTTTGTACACTATTTACATTATTCGTACTATTTCTCTAATCTTAGGTATATTTCAGTTCCTGGTTAAGGCGGTGGAGAATTTTGAGAGGGAAATTAACAGGATTAACTGACATCCATTAGACATGGCACGTGAAACTCGAACAGTCTACCCCTGTGAGCGAAATAAAGGGTTCAGTTCCACATTCCACCACCTGAAGAAGGCCGGAACGTACAACGGCCGAAACGTTGTAATAAATATGGTGAAAAAGATGAGGACAATAGTACAAATAATGTAAATAGTATTAAACAGAAGCTTATTTTTTATTGTAAGGATAATTATTTTTTAGCGAGTGAATAATAGAGTAACAATTTTTTGTGAATAATAATGTTTTTTTACAAGTATAAATCCTACTATTTAACCCATAGCTGGAGAAGTAGATTGATACATAAATTTCCCATGGGTATTTGCTCGTAACTGAATATAACAAATCCGACTGGAATACGAACTCATCTCTCTGATTTTTCTTTCGGAATCGCAACACATTACACCACCGGCACATCCTTATACATTTTAACCGACTGTAAGTTTGCAGTCAATGAAGGACGAATATTTTTCTATATGGAAGAGGCTACGCATACGATAATTTTCCCCAATCCAGTATCAAAAATGTGTTTTCTTCACTAGGAGTTGGATTTTCGTCACTTTGGTTCTGTTTTTTTGTTTTTGTTTTTTTTTGTAAATGTTTCGTTTTTTCCCATTGCTTTTTCTGATATTTTAAATCCACCATTTTTATTCTCACTTATAACTGGAGGTCTGTCACCACGCACGGGAATATATCAATTAGCTCCAGTTACTGGAGGCAATCAGGTAGATAACATCTGTGCCAATCAGTATAGGACTCTTAACGGCTTTGAAAGTTACTTCCAAGCTGCTCCCTGATAAAATTGTATCTGAAATGCTTCAAATGATTCCTCTACTCAAAAACGAGTAATCCACCATTATTTCTGGGTGTACGGGCGGAGGAATGCCTGTCGCCGCTGAAAGTGGGAACATCAAA